AAAAAAAAAAAAAAAAAAAAAAAAAATAGCGATTGCTAAGTGCTGCGTATTGTTGTAAATGCCTTATACAAATTATATCATTTAAACTTCATGACAACCACAGAAGGTAAGTATATTTAATAGGTGAAGAAAATGAAGGACAGAGAAATCAAGCAAAGTGTGTTTTCATACCCAGGCTGGGGGCTCCAGAGCTCTCACTCTTAACCTGAATGATACTTATTGTCTGTTCTGATAGAAAATAGTCAAAAGGAGGCTTGGCATAGTGGCTCAGTCTGTAATCCCAGAACTTTAGGAGGCTGAGGCAGGTGGATCACTTGAGGCCAGGAGTTCGAGACCAGCCTGGCCAACATGGTGAAACTCCATCTCTACTAAAAATACAAAAATTAGCCAGGGGTGGTGGTGCATGCCTGTAATCTCAGCTACTCTGGAGGCTGAGGCAGGAGAACTGCTTGAATCCTGAAAGCAGAGGTGGCAGTAAGCCAAGATCATACTACTGCACTTCAGTCTGGGTGACAGAGTGAGTCTCTGTCTCAGAAAAAAAGAAAGAAAAAAAGAAAAGCACCTGGCACCTTTTTTTGTTTTGCTTATCATTTTTTTTGTTCTCGTTTGTTCAGAATTTTTTTGTCTTCAAATGTTAGTATCCATCAAAATTACCCCGATGTATAAATGCAGAGTCCCAGGTCTCAGCACTGACCTAGAGAATTAGAATTCCCTGGGGGAAGGGCTCTAGCTCCAGGATTTTTTTTTTTTTCTTTTTTTAAACCAGCACCCCAGGTGATTCCAAGGCAAGTGGCTGGTAAGCATACTCTGATGGGAAGTTTGTTTTCCAAAGTTGGCCACAACCATACTTTCCATCACATATATTCTGCTAGTTTCTAGAGTCTTGCAGCTCACTGTTCAAGAGGTTGTGTCCTGATGGGCATGGTGGCCCACACCTGTAATCCCAGCACTTTGGGAGGCCAAGGTGGGCAGATCACGAGGTCAGGAGATCAAGACCATCCTGGCTAACACAGTGAAACCCCATCTCTACTAAAAACAAACAAACAAAAACAAAAAAGAGGTGGTGTCCATGTCCCCTGCCCCTGAGACACGGTGGGTTTTGTGGCTGGTTGACTGCTGGATTATGTTATTGTGATGCCATCTGACTTCCATGAGGCCACGTAATTTGCATGGCTAGGTCAAAAAAGGCAATTTAGCATCCATTTTAGCTTGCTGCAACACTTACTCTTGGAGCCCAGCCACCATGCAGTCGGGAAGCCCAAGATGCCCCAGGAAGAGGCTCACTTGGAATGAAACTAACAGCTGGTACCAACTTGCCCACCTTGAGAACCATTATGGAAGTCAATCTTGTGTCTGCACAGGCTGATGCAACACAAGGAGAGCGTGCTTTCCTGCCAAGCCCTGTCCAGACAGCAGACCTACACACTTCCAACACAATAGTACTCTGCTACTCTGCCTACCAGCATGAATTATCCTGGGTCCTCTATAAAATATTCTGAAAAGTACCTTTGTCCAGTTTCATTTATGTTTGCAGATTCTTCTAGTCATAGAACCACCTATTTCAGACTTCTGGTTATTTGAAATTCTCATTATTACCCTCTAAGCCTTGGCTTCTCTTCTAATGAGAGAGCCTACCAATAATAGAGCCTACCTCATCTGCTTTATAATTAAATGATATACTATTCTATGTAATCGTTTAGCATCATGCCAGCACAAAGTATTTCTCATTGTTCTTAGTAGGTTTCTTGCGTTCAGAGTTCCAGTTTCTCTAGTGCACTATTTTGTCTCTCTCATAATGCTATTTCATGGGCCATTTCCTATGCTTGGCATCCTCTTCCCTACCAGGTGTGATAGGTTCTTACTCATCATTTAGTACTCCACTTCTTCAAGAAGGCTTCCCTGAGTTCTCAAGCAGGTAATGCCTCTCTGCTAAAACAGCACCTTGGAGGAACCTCTATTACAGTACTTAACGCATTGGATTGTAACTAATCGTTTACTTGTCTTTCTACTCCATTGGAATCTAAGTTATCGGAAGGCATGGTCAGCCCTGTCTTCATTTATTCACCATCTACTGTCTGTTACGGTGCTAGGAGGCACTGTAGCTAAGTAGCTAAGGGCCAGGTGTTGGCAGACCTGCCTGGGGACAAAACAGCTCCACTTTCTCCTCCCACAACCTTGGAAAAAGTTAACTCTCTAAGCCTCATTTGTAAAATGGAAATAACACCTCCTCCTTACGATTGCTGTGAAGATGAAGTAAAATGCTTGCAAACAGTCCATCACACAGCAAGCCATCCATCATCAAGACAAAATGCTTCCCCAGCAATTCAATTTTTGGGCACCCCCACTCTAATTCTCTCATAAGACCTTGCACTCCATGGGTAATCTCTCGTTTACGGATTACTCTGGGTTCTTTAAACCTCTCCTTGGTCATTCGTCCTGTTAGCGATTCTGTCTCGGCCGCTAGGTCCAGGCGTTCACAACCATTTTTCCCGCCTCCAGCTCGCTCCAAATCCTTTTCCTTCAGCCTACCTGAGGCCCAAGGGGCGTGTTAAAGGTCCGATTTATACAATTTAAACATCAAAATTCCCTCAACAGGGTGTGGGTAACTGAAGAGACCCCCAGTCAGAGCTTTGCCACCGAGTTTCGGTCTTACCCTCCCTTTGAGGAAAGACTAAGCGGATCAGCCCCACCGCAGTCGTTTACTGCAGTGCCAGCCGAGAACGCGCGCAATGCAGGCAGAGCTGAATGAACGAACGCGCGAAAGAATGAATGGCCTACGTCGGAGGCCGGGCCTCTGTTCCTCTGTTACGACGCCCACCGGCGCGGGCGTGGCTACGGTTAAGAGGCTCGCGCGCGCGCGCAGGCCGCGCAGTACCTCAGTCGTGGGCAGGATCGGCCACGAGCGCCACAGCCCCGCGCTGCCTCTCCCAAGTCCCTGCCCCGCCGCGGCGCGTCACTTCCGTCACCCCCGGCCGGGGTTGGGGCGGGGCGCGCGGGGTAGGGGGCCAGGTCGGAGGGAAGCCCGCCCGTGCCCAAGCCTGCGCCGGAGCAGGGACTACATTTCCCGAGGGGCCTCGGCGGCGGCTGCGGCGACGGGCGCGGTAACGTCCCCCGGAAGTGGAGCCCGGGACTTCCACTCGTGCGTGAGGCGAGCGGAGCCGGAGACTAGACCAGAGGCCGAACTCGGGTTCTGACAAGATGGCCGGGCTGCCCCGCAGGATCATCAAGGTAACCGCCCAGGCCGGCCTCCAGCCCTCCGCCCTGCTCTTGTCGGCTCGGCTGGGCGGGCAGCACGGCCTCTCGCCACCTTCGGCTCGCGGCCCGCGCTGGGAGGCCTGAGCCGGCGCTGAGAGGGTCTGGCCGCGGCGGAGAGGGAAGTCGGGTGCTGGGGAGGGGGCGCCTGGGAGACTTCCGGCCGCGGCGGGGCAACCGGGCAGCGGGGACCGGGGGCTTCCAGGCGGCCGCCCGTCGGGCTAGGGAGTCCTGGCCCGAGCCCCGGCTGTGGGTGGAGCAGCAAGGCTGCGGGACTCTGGGCTTGGGCGCGGGCCTCCGTAGCTTCTCAGACCACCCCACGGCGGAGGCCTTGGGCGCGCGGGAATCGCGGTGGGGGCTCGGACTCCGGGCGGGGGTTGTGGCCCGACAGGGTCCCTCGGCCACCGGGCCCCTCTTCTCGGCCCCGACGGGGGAGCGGAGGTGCGGCAGCCGCGGGTGCAGAATGAATGAACCGGGAGGGTCAAGCCGGGCGGGGCTCTGCGCCCCGGGAGGTGGCTCTGGAGGCCCGCGCGTCTTGCCGCGGTCAGCACATGCTCGCCCCTGGCTGCCGCTGCTGTCTGGGTCCCGGAACGTGGGGGCTCCGCGTCCCGCTCCCCTTGCTTCCGCGTTCTCCTCTAAATACGTTTCCGCTCGTTTATCTCTGCGAAGTGATTTCACTCTGGTTGGCAAACTCTTTCAGAGCTGTTCCGAGGAAATAGTTTTAACAGCAAGGCTGGGGGAGGGCCGCAGTTATGGGGAATTCTCTCCCTCTCCTCTCTCCTCTCTCTCTCTTTTCTCTGCGCTCTCTTTTTCATAGAGATGGGGCCTCGGTATAGTGCCCAGGCTGATCTCGAAACTCCTGTCCTCAGAGATCTTCCTGCCTTGGCCTCTATGGGGGATCTTGTGAAATCTTTTGCCTCTCGATTTGGTGCGCTTTAATTATTAATTGGCTGTTTATTAATACTGTTCTTTGACAAGTACATGTGGATCCATAACACTTTCTATTCTTTAATTTTGTAAAGTCTTCGCCAAATAATAACTAACAAGTCTTCAGATGTGAGATATTTCTTGCCATCCACAACAACTAAATCTTAAATTTTTGTGTCAGTTTTTATGAGGGAAATTAGTTGAACATTTGTGTGGCCAAATTCGCCAGTTAAGGTGACTAAATTGCAGCATCATTTTGCTTGATATAACCTGGCAAAAGTGTATGTTAGTCTTGTTCATTCTTGTAAAATCTATAGGGGGATGCATGTACTGTATAGTGCTTAATGCAATTTCGTTTAAATATATCTGAGGTGAGGGAGGTATCCTTGACCTAAGGGTGCTTGAGGTAGAGAAATAAGTCATTTTCCTATGGTAGAAATTCTTAGAAATAAGAGAAGTAGAACAGATTGTCAGTGAGCACTAGAGTCTAATAACGTGAACATTCATAGTGCGAAATCTGTTGCGTGTGGATTTGTCTAGGACTCTATCCAAGGAGTTTTAATTGTCATATGTATTGGCAGGTCCTTAAAATGTGATTTTAGTTATAATGCAGTCACATGGTCCCCAAAGATCATGTTTATTGAGGCCCCAGTTGAAAAATGAATAGGAAGTGATACAGCCATACACCAAATATCCTTGAGTTTTTGTTACTTAGGTTATTGACTAAGTACGTAATGCAAATTGACATTCATGATAATTCTCTAAAATACATAGTGAACTAAACATTTAACAAGCATTTTTTCCATATTTGATTATAAAGATATGCACAGTAATATGAAAGCCTTGTGTGAAAAAATAAATTCTGTGGAACTTTGTTTATAAATTTACAGAAATGGCTTACGGCAATAAGTTGAAGTCCTCATGATTTAATTCGTTTGGCATATAATTTAATTTACAGTGGGCATTACGTTTTGTTGTTCAAACTAAGACAGTAGTAACATACTGTAATATATAATCTTAATTTTACGGTATCATGTTGAGAACATCTATCTAATGAATGGTACCTTGATTTGGGTTTTATCTTATTAGTTTAATGTCATTTATAGCTTAACAGGATGGTTTTCTCCTATCCTTACAGAGGATTAAAATATTAGATTTTTTTTTTTTTTTTTTTTTTTTTTTTTT